CCCCCCCCCCCCCCCCCCGCGCAAAAATGAAATGGGGTCAGACTTTCCGAACCACAATTATTGTTCTGCTTGGGGGCTGAGAAGCAACAGAACACGTGGCAGCCTCCAGGGGACCGGTTTTTCCAGCAGTTCATCAGCCCCTGAGAAATGGGGGCTCAGACAGGGGGCACCACCTCCAGGGAGCATGGGAGAGTCACCTGCGCTGGGACACGCATGGCCCAGCGCGCGAGCAGGGGGGACAAACAGGAGCCCTGCTCCGAAACGCAGCCCCTACTAAATAACCCGGCACAGGAAGCCACGGGTCCCCGGCACTAGAGGAGAAACTTGTCGCCTCCAGTTCACTTCAAACTAGGGGTGTAAATCCTGGCTAATCAGCGAACCAGTTAAACACTAGGTTGAACGGTGAAGCCGTGGAGCGCGGGCCCCTGGCCACACGGGGGCTGCCGATGCGGGCCCACCCTACCTCCGCTGTGCCAGGTGCTCCCGGAGCCCTGCGGCAGACCGGAGGCTGCTCCCGGGTACTGTTTAATCAGTTTCCCGGTTCACATCCCTAATTCAAACCCAATCTCAGGGGACTCCGAACCCCAGTGATTTGCACCCAAAAGAAGTTCCCCTTGAACCCTCAGACACGGGACCTACTCACCGGGAGTCGGGCAGCCCAGTGAAACAGCAACACAGACAAACACACACACTCTCTCTCTCTCTTCCCCCCTCCACTTCATTTCTGCATCCTGGAGAATACAGGAGCAGGAGGAATTTTTCACAGCCTCCAGATAGTCAATGTAAGTTCTTGGCTAGCAGGGATACAGGGAATTTTAAACACACACACACGTGCATGCCCAGACCGGCTTTGAGAGCTGGTTGCATTGTAGGGGATGGGGTTAGGTGCAGCCTCTCCAGGAAGCTGAGCTCTGTGCTCCCCATGGAGCAGAGAAGGGACCACACCCCAGCCCTAAGCCTGGCACTTTCGGGGTGGCCAGGGTGCTCGGAGCTCATGGCTGACCCCTGAAGAGAAAAAGAGCTTCCTTCCCCCTCTGCAGCATGGCTCTATGAAACACCATCAGCAACAGAGCAGCCTAACCTTAGGGCCAAGATCCAAAACAGTCTCAGCAGGAGAGAGAAAGTCCCAAGAGGGAAACTGACCAAGACAGGTGCAATCAATTATTTTTTGTCGACACATTTGGACCTTGGCAAGGTGTAGTCAAGATCCAGACTCCCGAGAAAACAACAACATGAATAGCCATTACGATCATAAGTAAATAAAAGACTCCAGAGTCTGTTAAAAAATGGCTGCTCCTCTGGGCTTGGCCCACAGTCCACCTGTTGGCTACCCCTGGACGAGGAGGTGTGTTTCCAGGAGACTGTCCATACGGTTTCTCCAATCCCAATGATAACTTCTTCCCAGATTACAGTCTCACAGTGAGAGAACACCACCGCCCGGGTGAGGGTCATTGACAGGTGTTATAATTACTGAGACCCTCTCTGGAGGCTGTCTCTCTCGCATGAAGGTGACGGGTGCCAAAGGAAATGAAACCTGCGTCTGGCAAGTTGTTTGTTGGAAGCATATCCCGAGACAGGGCTCTTGGGACAGTGAAATTCCAACACATTTTAAAACCTTGTCATGAATAGCAATCAGCCACAGCACAGGCAGGTTTAATTACTTACGTTCTCTGAACGGTGACAATGCACAGGGACTAGCTACAGGAGTCCTGCAGCAGCGACAGGTCACCTTGTGGTAAAGATTTCCCAAACCTCTTAACTACGTCTACCCATTGCAAGTTGGAATTGTTACAATTACTGGCCCGGACCCGCAACTCCGACCCACCCATGCAGACCCAGGCGCTGGTGCCAATAACTGGGCTGCAGATGGAAGGGTGTAAGGACCGGGGCTAGCACTGATCTGACACCAGAGTCTGTGCCCCTTACGTGGTAATTCAGGCCTCTCTTCAGATTTCCCAAGTGCATGCGAATTCCCGGGAAATAGCCACCAAACATGCAGACAAATGATTATCAAGCTACAGTTTATTCCCACCACGTCACATACCACATGGTGTCGACAAGCTTGTAACCCTAAAAAACAAACAGAATCGTCCCTTTCTGGGACACATCTTCAGGCGAGCAGCCAGGGTGCTAAAAATGCAGGGTCCAGGACCAGTGTCAGTTACCCAGACACTCACAAGTAACACACAGCCTGAACGCAGCACCCCTGCCTGGGAAACCAGCCACAGGCAGCCCCTCTTTACCTCCCATTTCACCA